AAAAAGTCAAAAGAATTGAAAACAATACTCCATATGACAAGAACCTCAAATAAAACACAGAGGTAGCTATTCCATTTGCAGAAAGTGAATGTCAAAGACTGATTAAGAGAGACAAAGAAAGTCACTACACACTTATAAAGGGAGCAATCCAAGAGGAAGAGATAATAATCACAAACATATATGTCCTGAAAATCAGCACATCCAACTATATAAAACAAATATTAATGGACATGAAAAGTCAAATTAGCATGAACATGATTGTAATGGGGAACCCCAATATACCACTGTCACAATTAGATCAAGTAGGAAAAAAAAATCAACAAATAAATATCAGGAGTAAATGGATTTAGTAGATGGCTACAATATCAGAATACACATTATTCTCAGCTACACAAAGAACATTCTCCCAAACAGACCACATACTAGGTCATGGAACATGCTTAAGTAAATGCAAAGGAACTGAAATTATCTCAGGTATCTTATCAGTCCATAGTGCAATGAAATTAGAAATCAATGATAAAAGAAGATCCAAAAGCTTCATATACAAAAGGAAATTAAATGATACCCTCCTCCAAAAAACAATGAGTCACACATGAAATTAGACATTTTTGACAATTAAATGATAATACCAATACAATATACCGAAGCACACAGGACACAATGAAGGCAGCCTTATCAGAGAAATTTACAGCAGTGAATTCCCATATCAGAAAAAGAGTGAGCCTAATGTTCAACCTAATGTTTACCCTCAATTTGCTACAAAAAGAAGAGCAAATGAAGCACAAACTTCATACAAGGGAGGAAATTATAAAGATCAGGGCAGAAAATAATGCAATTGAGACTAAGAAAACCATTCAAAGAATTAATGACTTGCAGAGTTGCTCATTTGGAGTATAAAATAAAATTAACTAATGCTTAGCCAAATTTATCCAAAAAAAAGAAAGACTCAAATCTATGAAATTAAGAATGCTAAGGGTTAAATCACAACAGTTCCTGCAGAAATCCAAAAGATCATCAATACTTTGACAACCTATATTCTAATAAGATAGAAAACACAAAAGAAATGGTCAGATTCATAGATATAGATTATATATATAGATATATTACCAAAGATGATTCAAGAAGATATAAAAATTTAAAATAAAATAGTATCAGTCAATGAAATTGAAAATGTAATTAAAAATCTACCAACAAAGAAAAGTCCAGGCCATGATGGATTCACTGCTGACCAAAAAAAAAAAAAAAAAAATGTTTAAAGAAGACCTAATGTTACTACCTCTGGAAATCTTTAACAAAAGGAAGGAATACTCCCAGATTCACTTTTTTTTTTTCTGTGACCGACTCAGCCCACCCTGGGGGCGGGGCTGGCATGGCATATGATGCCAGGGATCAAACCACTGTCCCTGTGTGCTTGCCTAAGCTTACCGAGGCAGGTGCCTTAGACTGCTGAGCTATCTTGACAGTCCCCAGATTCATTTCTTAAAGCAAGCTGTACCATGATATCAAAACCAGAGAAGGATCCAAACAAGAAAGAGAACTATAAGCCAACTACAGCTCTCCCTAACAAACACAGATGCAAGAACCCTCAGTAACATACTAGCAAACAGAACGCAGCAAATCATCAAGATTATACATCGTGACCAAACAGGACTCATCCCAGCAATGCAGGGATGGTTCAATATAATCAAATCAATAAATGTAATATACTACATTAACACAGCTAAGGATAAAAACTGTATGATAATCTCAACAGATGCAGAGAAAGGTTCAATGAGAAGAAAGATTTGTACTAATAGTGTTTCAACAGGGTAGCATGTCTGAATCTTGCACTAAGAAAAACCACTACAAAGACAACAATATGCAATGTATTAATTATTGAAACTGTCCTATTAATCGTTTTTGAAACTGTCTCATTGCTATTTGTTTCTCAATAAAATTAATAAAAAAAAAACTAAACAAAAAAGGGGATATAAGTGAAGGACCATTTTGTATCTGTATATACAAAATAGGATAGATACACAGCTACTTTCTCTTAATTCAATGAGTAATGTTTAAACAGGATATCATGTCTGCATCTTGTCCTCTGAATAACTACTAGGAAGACAACAATATGCAATGTATTAATTATTGTAACTGTCCTACTAACCTGTTTTGAAACTGTCTCATTACTATTTGTTTCTCAATAACATTAATAAAAGAAAAAAGAAAAAGGATTTGACAAAGTCCAACAACTATTAATGATAAAAACTCTACAGAAAACTGGAATAGTCTTTATTGAAATCTGATAAAAAGCCATCTATGACAAACCAACATCCAACATCATACAAAACAAACAAAAACTAAAAGCTCTCACTCTAAAATCAGTAACAAGACCAAAATGTTCACACTCACCACCTTTACTCAATATAGTTCAGGAAACATTAGCCAGCACAATTACACATGGGAAATAAATAAAAGGAATTAAAATAGGGAAGGAAAAAATTATTAAATTATCATTACTTCTGAAGACATAATATTCTACATACAAGACCCAAAAACTCCACCAAAAGACTTCTAGATTTAATAACCAAATTCAGTAGCATAGCTAAATACAAAGTCAACACTCAAAATTCAATTGCATCCTTGTACACAACAAACAAACTCACTCTGAATAACTACTGAGAGATAACTCACTGAGAGATAAGTCAGGGAAATAACATCTTTTACAACAGCATCCAAAAAAGTGAAATAGGGTTGGGGAGATAGCCCAACGAAATAAGCACCTGCCTGGCAAGCAAAAGGTCCTGAGTTTGATCCCTGGTACCAAAAAAACAATCAACTACCTAGTAATAAATCTAATGAAGAAAGTATAGCACAGTAAGAGAGCACCCTGAGTTCATCCACAGCACTCTAAAACCAAAATATCATGAAAAGCTTAGAGGCAGGTCTTGGAGTTGAACTAGAAGCCACCTTGAGTGGCACTGAGACTGGGACCTGATGCAGGAGCAACATGGAGAAGTTATCCCACATGGAGAATGGCTGAAGCTGGAAATTGGTCACATGTGTGGGCAAGACAAGGCCAAAGTGCCTAAAACAGTCAAGCTACCTCAGTCTTGAGAAAAATGACGTGCCTGAGACAATTCCAGTCATTAATCACTAGGCAATCCTGTGTCTCATAATACTAACTTTGTGAGAGTATAAGTAAATTCCCCTACTGTGGTTCCTCAGTTCTTCTCCTCCCATCAGGAGAAAGAAGGCCTCCACCTGACCTCAGCTTTGTCTCCTGTCTATGTTTTCTTCATCCCATCACCATTTTTCCCCGGAAATCATCAATAGCCACATGGGTTGTGACAGTACCACAGTGAGACTCCTCTCATAACCATTTTTGTCCTTGGTTGTTTTTTGGTTGTTGCTATTTTCAAACTCCATATGTTTTTTTTCCGTATTTTCTACTTTTTCTATTTAAATATATAACTGAATCCTATCAAGAATATTTTTCATTTAATTTGTCTAAAAAATGGCAGAAGTCTAACAATTGTGAACCAGAAACATATTCAAAGCACTATATCAATATGTCCATACTGGGACAAGGTAATTCAAACCACAATTCATAATTCATTATTATGAGAAAAATGTTAGGGAAATATGTAAACTACAAATTTTTTTTAAAAATCAAAGAATTCAGAAATGTGCAAGAATAACTCAATTTTTTTTCTTTTTTTTTTTAGTGAGACAGGGTCTCACTGTGTAGTTCAGACTGGCCTCAATCTCACAACTCTTCTCCTTCAGTTTTCCAGGGGTTGGGATTACAGGTATGTGCCATCAAGCGCACCTAAGAATAAGTGAGTATCTTTTATTAGGGTCCTAAAGATTTTTTATTTGTTTGGCTGGAGGTACAGTTGCTGTTTTATACAAGGGAAGGGTGATATCTTCTGTATTAACTAGATCATTCCAAGAACAAGAAAACAGGGCTGGAGAAATAGCTGAGCAGCATAAGTGCCTGCCTGGCAACCACAAGGTTGCAAGTTTGATCCCTGGTACCACAAAAAAGAAAGAGAGAGAGAGAGAGAGAGAGAGAGAGAAGAAGAAGAAGAAGAAGAAGAAGAAGAAGAAGAAGAAGAAGAAGA